GACCAAAACACACAGGCAAAAATCGCCTGCGCCGGGCCAAAACAACCCGGATTTTTCGCACCAAGGGCATATCGGCATCATGCAGCATCAACACCCAAAGAGAGGACCAAGCATCAAGAGCATGTTATTTCCCAATCCCGCCCCTCTCCCCGCCCGATGGGGGCCACAGCTACGAATGGGGGGCTACCCTTCATCTTTGCGAAAAAATCAGTCAAATAGCTACCCCTCATCCTCGGGAAAAATCACTGAATTCGAATGAGTATATAGCATTCTGGTCCCTCAGGGCCTGCAACTGACTCAGTTGCAGGCCCTTAGTACCCAGAATACTACAACAGTTGGGCCTGGCAGGCCAGGGCGGTAGAAGGGGGGGAGGGTGTGAAGGTGAGGAGTGGAGGGGTGGAGTGCGATTTTAAACAGCACTTTTATACTACCTCTGTGGCTCCGGGGCTTGGCCGCCCACCACTTATTATTTTAAAAGACGCCACCGTACCAAGGGCATGCCAGAACAAAGAAAGAAACGCATCTGGCCTGCGTGCGGCAGCCCCAGCTCCAAGGTAGCTCCAAAAGCTGACGAGCCCAAGGCTGCAAAGCGTCTATCGTGCAATCGCCCACAACCCCCCTATCTGCGTTAAACAAGACCGTGTTGCTGTAAAATTGGTTGTATCACGGTAGTGACTCGTACTTGCGCTTAAGGACCCCCAAAAAACGCTCAAATTTCAATTTGGAAGAGCCCGTAACGGAAGTACCTAGTTCAAGTGGCAGTGAGAGAAAACCCTTCTTCTTTTCTCCTCCAGTATGCGGGTTGCACTGCGCCAGAAAATGGCACGACAAAGGCGCAGCGAGGTGGCAGGCTCCAGATCTGGTATCTAAGATGCGAAGCGAGCCAGGGCCCATGGAGCACCACAACTATTGAAACCCAAAGCTCCAAAGCTCTGAAGCCCAAGGTTTCGTAAGTCAAACTCTCAACCTCCACAACGAGGCAAAAGGCGTAGCGTGCAGCCATGTCACAGAATCCCCTTGAGCAAACCTGCCACCTGATTTGTTGATCGACTTCACGGTCAACGCGCGCGGGTGCGCGCTGAAGATGGGTGAATTTCCTATCCGCTGGATAAGTGCCAATCTCTCGGGCACAGCTTTAAAAAGGCCCCCCCAGAGACCAACTCCCAACTTCAATGACGCCAACACGTCCTACAGCACCTTATACCCCCTTTACCGGACCGAAGACATGCCCGGATCAAGCAGCGCGGGACCAGGCGAAAAATCTTGCAACTCAGCCAGCTGTTCTCAAACCAGTCCGGCATGCCCAAAGAGTTCTGCAAATCAAGGGATGATGGCTGATTGTTTACATTTGACTTTACATGCGTCTCGTGTTTGGACGACCAGTTTCTTTGGCTGATGACAGCAACTAGTAGTTTCGAGAGAGAAATTGCAAAGGCCCGTATTTAGGCCGTGGCAGGCCGGACTATTGCGGAAGGATGGAAGCCAACCGATTTTCAGGTTGGCGAGCTTCGCGCAGTACAGGGACTGATGGACCTTACCATCGTGCCTCGCAGCACCAGCACCAGAACACAACATCTCAGAGGACTCCAATACTTAGGCCATAGAACTGACCATCTATGAGGAACAAAAGACCTACGCGAAGGCAATTCACGCTCAGCTTGCCTCGCACATGCAAGTTTTGCAGCAACACCTCGGCATGGTTACCGCAACATCTGTCAGAAAATTGCAGCATCACATTTGCGCAACACCCTCCAGCATGTGATCAGTTTGCATTGTAGTGCAGGCAAATGTGCTCTGGTACTATCATATGAACACAGAGTGCGGACTCTGACTCCCAAGACCAGTCTGTCATCACATTCCAGCCGTATCTGAGGAACAGGTCTTTCCAAGTTGCCCGCTGAAAAGGTCTCATCATCTCACAGTTGGCGCCTGCCGGTATTCGGTGGGTGTGCACTGGGGAGGGTGTGAGGGGATAGTCTGCGTCATGCAGGTCGAAACTGCTTACTCTCGAGCGGTTTGGGCAGCGACAGGGCCCTCCTCCACTCTCCTGAGAAAGTAGAAGGAGGGGTTGTCAGAGCTTCAGTGGAGATTTGTTGCTTTTTCTGTTGACCACATGCCACAGGATTTTTCCGAGTACTGAATACCCATGATGCAAGCGAGACGAGAATATTTGCTTCATTCCTATTTCACTCTCCGTCTCCGCGCACTTCCCAAGCCACAAGCCTTGCCTCATCGGAGCAGAGTACCTGAAGAAAGAAGCTTCTGGAAACGCTTCTTGGCTGCTGGACTTTTGGTTCTGGCTTCCGTGTTCAGGGCTGGTGGATTGGATATCGCTGACTTGCCCTCGATGCTCGGAGCCAAACCCAGTCACGCTCTGATATGCTACAGGCATGGCCCTTCGAATCGGAACCCGGATGACAAGACTTCGGACCTTCACCTCGAGCTATCAAAGCCCTTCGCAGCCCTTCGTTTGGGGCGGCACCAGAACTGCTGTGCAAGAGTCTGCTCCTTGGCTCTGCTGGCGGCTCTCTCTCGAGTTTCCAGCAAGGCTCAGGCTCGCTTTCAGGATCTCATCATTTAGAAGCTGCGCACGAGCTCTACAGCGAAGCATTCCCGTGCAGGCCCTCACAAGCCAAAGTGCGAGAACTGCTAAAGGAGCGATTCCACATGAATATCTGGGCAAAGGCTCAATGAGGGTCATGTTCTCCTCGAGCTTGCAAAAGGCGACCTGACACCTTGTGGAGTCCAGGCGTTAGGGCTCGGGGGTTAGTCCAGGTCTTTGGGCCTGGGCTTTGCGTTTGAGGTTCAAGGTAGCGTGTGAAGACCCAGTTTGGAGGCTGAAGTTTCGTTGGGTGGTACATGCTGAGTGTGCAGGGGGGCTATCAGGCAGTTAACCATAGCCTTGAGATGGGACGGCCTAAGTGTGAGATGGAGGGCACGTGATCTAATTTTCGCACAGTCTGGGTGAAGAAAGGTTGGGTCGTCACAGCATGAGCAGGCTCCAAGTGCGATGACGTGGCTTCAAGCGGAAGCCCCACAGCTCAGGTCTGAAACTTTCGTCCGAATCAAAAGAGCCTCCCGAAGGAAGCCACAGTGTTGACTTCCATATCCGTCTCCAAACCAGGAGCTAAAAGCTACAAAGAGAAAGCCCACGTCCCTTTCGCCTCTTCTCGAGGTCGCCCAGGGCGACATCTAAGTCGAACTCCTCTGGCAGTCCCGCCTCCGAGAGACTCAAAGCCGGCCTTGGGGTCCTAGGGAGCCGCTACAGGCCGCCAGCGTAAAACCGCCACCCAGTGCCCTTTCCCTACCCCTCTATTTTTGCAACCCAAGCAGCCGCCGCCACTTCCGTCGTCGTGAAAAAAAAGAGGTACGAGTACGTTGCGCAAAACAAAATTCATGCACTCGTGCCTGCGCTAATCGTTGCAAGAATAAGACATAAGTGCAAGTGGTTGATGTGCCTGTGGAGAACAACAGGGATTTAGCGTGCCGTAGCTTGTCAAAGCTTGCACTTGTACTGAGACTGATTTTCAATTGGGCTCTGGCATAGCATCTAATTTCCTTAGGTCTCGCAGGAATTTGGCGACGAGTTCTCCGCACTTCCCATCTGAATGCGACATGTCGCCCCTGCCTGCAGACCAAGGATGTAGTGAGTCTCGTCCAGCTCCACTTGCTTCAAATAGAACATGTTTCTGGCCAGCGGAGACGAGGTTTCTGAGAACGGTACCGGCCGCTATCTTTGCTCAATTAAAGCATGCTGCTAGGTGGTGTCTGACTCGGGGCAGCAATGTTCATAAGCCGCGCATCCCCGAACACAAATTCCGACTTTGCAGGAGACTTTGCAGTGCTTCAAATTCGCCTCTCCTTATTCAAGACCGCAGACTTCGGCGCCTGAACAATTCACCGGACTTCCGGGCATTCGTTTGCACCTCGGGCGCACGGGCTACGAGCTTCAGATTTGAGGGCCTCTGTGCTTGCCCAAAGTCCTGGGCCCCAAACCGAACGCATGAACCCCCCAACAAGATCCAAAGCAACGAGCGGCCTCGCTCTACTACCACGCCAATGTCTTGTTTTGGTGGGCTCCGACCCCGAAACTGTCGCCACCTCCCACACTCCTGGAGCCCAGATGCCCCCAGAATGCCCCCAAGGACCCGGCACAGATCATCTCCCCCCTGGGCAGTTCGACCCATGGCCTCGGACTTGACTCGGTGAAGAAAAAAGCGGAAGCACACGCCAATATCACGTACGAGACTCTTCCGAAGGCTTCGAATTTTCAGTCTCAACTTTCGCAGCATCGATCAATGCAGGAATCAAGGCTCCAGGCTGCAATATTGCAGGTTACCCGCATGCCTGCAAAACCCTCAAGATTCACCCTGGCATCAGCCTTCTCAGCGTAGCAGAGCTTTGATTCATGACACCCCTGAATTGCAGAGCCGTGCCCCCTGCTTCTGTAGTCCATCGGGCAAGTTGTCCGGGGCACCTCCGACCAACGTGGCTTTCTGCTCCAGTGATCATTGCCGGGTGATTACGACGACGGTCCGAAGATGGCATCGCACCCTTGCCCTGAGTCGGCAACAGCAGCAGGCCTGTGTACTCCTCACCAACTGACGAGGACATACAAAACCTGGCGGGCAACGACGTCAACGCACTGGGCGGCTTGCAATTCCCCAGCACTTCCTCCAACCTCCCAGACTCTGTCCTAAAAGCCGATTTGAATCTCACAGAATCTCACAGAGGCCACGCAAGCATAGCATGTTTCTGCTGACTGCATACACAGAAGCTGATCCTGTCTTCAAGGATGTGAGGCACCGATCCAGTGTGACTTTGCCCATGCATCCTTGCAGGTCCTTGCAGAAGCACTTACTTTGTTCATGGCCTCACTTGCAATCCCTCCTGGAAACTGGAGCCCAACAGTCACTTGCTTAGCAATCTACCAGCATAAGCCTCCGCTTGGTGAGCACGTTCAACCTTGAATCAGGCCGGAAGAACGCCCGACACTTCACTCGGGTGGCCTCCTGCGAAGGTGAGCTGTGGCTTTCTGCAAGCCCGCGCAAGAGTTTCTGTCGGTATGGGCTATGCAGTTCAGTGACTGTACACTGTAAAGGTGAAGGCACCGATCAACTGAAACTACTCGAAGATCTGACCCGAAACCCTCTTACCTGGCAATCCGAACTCCGCTTGAATGCAGACCTGCCCTGTTCGCAAGCCTGAGCCCTTCAGAACTAAGTTGCCGGCATCGATGAGATTGGAGGGCACGCCATTGAGTAGGAAGCGGCAGTTTCGCCCCACGATCTCCTGTACCTGTGAGGACTGAAAGATCAGGAGAGATGCCTACACTCTGCATTGCAAAAATCACCCGCAAGCCGTTGCACTCCCTGCTAGGAAAACACTTGTGCACTTAGTGGGAAGTATACAATGGAGGCGCAGAGTAGCCAGTGAGCTCCGTGAAGCCCGCGCTACAGGCAATGAGGGGGCAGTCCGGCTTGGACCTCGGAGTCCCGGCAGAGAAAGGATGATTGCAGCTCTTGAAAGGAATTCTTTTGCGGTGCGACGTCGGCGTGCGACATCTCCATCGGACATCGGGTGGGATCCGCGAGGAGGCTTCCACTCCTACAGGTGCAACACCTAGAGAACCCTACGTCGTCCGCAACGTGTGTCCACGATCCCGACAACAAGAAACTTTTCGTTCTGTTTCCGAGCTGTGCCTGGAGCCCTCATGAAATGCACACTCTCTGAAGCACAGGGTCGAAGGAGGATGTCCACCCTCACAGCCCTTAACTCCAGCATCTTTTGACCTACGGAAGCTTAAACTGATGGTTCTCGTCTACTTGATGCTTGAAAGTCGACTGGGCTGCTGAGCTTGGTGCAATACTTGGGTTGGCATGTTCAGCGGGGTTCGCCTGCTGACAAAAGCTGAGGATACCACGGATCTGCGAGAGTCACCGAGAATCCTAACTCGTACCTGGCACGATGCTGCAAGTCCTGACCTCCCCCTGCACACTGCACAGAACTGCATTGCACAAAACTGAATGTATTACGTCGTATTGCGTGCAGGGAGACAGGGGGCTCTGCTTCCTGCGTCCCTGAAGACCAACTCCAAGCAACTTTCACACAGCACTCTGTCATCCCTTCAGCCTACATGCAAAAAGGATCTTACCAACTGCGGCGGAGCACAGCTCTTCGATGCAGAAGTTGTCGATGACTTTCTGAAGCTCTGTGCTGCATCGGGTGTTCCAGTGCAGGGGTCCATGCGAGGACTCCTGCGACAGGTATGGCTCAAGCTTCGAACTCTTCGCTCAGAGTGGGCACCTGCCTAAGAATTTTTGCACCCGTCACAACCACAACCGGAGTACGCGAGCACTAAACCTCCTTCACTTCGAAGCCTCCAAACTGAAGCCCTGACACCTGAGATCCCAAGTCTCCAAAGCCAAAGCTTGCTAGCTTAGCCAGCCTGCCGCGAGAACTTGCCCGCATCCTGCATGCAACTTTGGGACACACCAAGCAAGCATTGACGGATGAAAAAGGCAAACATGTCGTTCCCCGCTCCCGCCTTAAAACCTCAACTCAAGACTGACATGTGCAGCACTCGCAAAACAAGGAACCCTGCAGCCCCCGTAGGTTTCCTTGCGCTTGGTTGGATCTATCCTCTTAAAGTTTGTGTCTAGAACCATACACACGAATGGCGGAAGGACTTTAGTCTTGTGCCCCGAGTACAGATCCATAGCAGCAATAGCTGCTGGCCTCCAAAGTGCATATCAATACTCTGCCTTAAACTACCATAACCTATTTTTTGTAGGTTCTTATTCTAAATCCCAATATGGATTTTACAGGGACCCTACAAAAAAGTGGGTTTTGGTAGGTGGTCTAAGCCAGCTTCTCGAAGCGCAGGCCTGCGTGTTGCCGAAGCCGGGCAAAGCACCGACCTCATCCATCTCCTCTTCATCCGCATCCTGGGGCGGATGAAAAGACCCGAATGAAGGGTTCTTCTTGTTAGGGGACGTGCCTGAATATGAAACCCGGGCCTCCTGAAGACAGGTAGGAATCCCTGGGTGTCGACATGGGGGAACTATGCGGGGCAAAAGCTGATTTGGATTTCTGGAGGCTCTGTTTGCACTTTAGGCTGTAAACGTGATACAACAAGCGGCGATTCCACCCAAGCACCTACCAAGGTACCGAGCCACACCGAGGTTCATGCCAAGGAGCAGCCGCACCCAGGCGTTTAAGCTAACAGTCGCTGAATGGTGTGTTGTGATCATAAGGGATGGTGACAGACTACGCGGGCAAGAAGCAATCGCCTACCCTAAGGCCAGAACGTAGTGGGAGAAATCCCTCTAAGTATTCTGCAGCCCGCCTTAAATGGTTCCTCTTGGAACCTATCAAGTGGCCAGTGCCAGCTTCGACAAGAGGTCACACACTCTGTAGGTGGTAGGATAAAGTTCGGGGGGGCTGAGGGCTTTCGGGGAAAATAGGTAAGCCGGTTCTCAACCCGGAACCCTAAATAGCGACAAACCCACCAAACCTTTAATCAAATACCAGCCAAGTCTTCCGGGTTGAGGAGCCAGAAGAGTTCAGGGTGGAAGGCTTTGGGTCAGGGGGACTACGGAAACAAGCCCCGAAGTTGCCGGCCTCAAAAGGATCCAGCAAGTCCATAAACCTCTCCTGGCCCGGTCGCGACAGCTCTTTGGTGACCGGCCAATTAGGGTTGTGCGGCTTGCGAGGTTGCTGAGGGTTCTGCGTCAGGATCTGTTCGTTGGGCTTCGATGCAAGGAGGGGTTCCTCCACAGCTTTGGAAGGTTTTGCGGGTCAGAACCTGGGACCCTGAACGAAGGTTTTTCCCGCCTGTGACTGTGGAAATGCCATCGCCATTGCGGTGACCGGCTGCGTGAGGATCACCTGCTGAGGATTCAGAGCCAGGATCCGGCTGGCAGGCTCCGGGAAGCGCAATGTACGGAAAACTGAAACTCTTGCATCCCCGAATGTGTGTGTGGGGCTCAGGCTCTTGGAGGAGGAGACTCAGCCTCTTGGGATTAAAAGCTGCAAGGTCATTTAGAACTTAAAAGCACCGAATTCCTGAAGACTCCGAAGTCCTAAAGTCCATCGGAACTCTGAGGATTCCCGTCCTCGACACAGCACCGAAATAATCCGACTCGCGGCGTTTGAGCCGCAACGACCGCACGTGAACAAACAATCCATTCCGAGCGCATGCAAGATGGAGACCAGGCGTGTAGGGCTTGTGGCCGGGAGTACCAGTCTGTCTATGAGGACGGCCGTCACCAGCCAGGCTCTTGAATTTTCAACAAAGACACCGGGTGCTCCTACGACTGAGTAGCATGGCAGGCACTGGCCTTGGCCCTTCTTCTAAGAATGACACTGACATTGGGGTCCTGCATGGCCATACGCAGCATACCAACTCCAACTTAAACTCCTTCAATCCTCCAAGGAGGCTGAAAACTAAGCTCTAAGTCCAGCGGCGCTCCGGCAAAGTTTTCGTTCCCGCCCGAATTCTCGCCTTTAAGGCGATGGGGGTTGCAGTCTGTACAGGCTCAAATTTCAAATTATGCTGTCTGGCACGTCACAGAGAAGGAAGGAATACTTTGGGGTTCGGCCTGCTTTCATCACAATTCTCCGTGGCTGAATGCATCCCAGGCCATACGGCCCAGTGAGTTTGATTAAGCAGCCTTTGCCAGCGGTGCTTGCAATACTTGTAGCTACAGGTGACGCGTACGAGTTCGTGTTGCTTGTGCAGACTCGACGCAACTTTTGGGTGCTGCCCTGGTATGTCCTCGAAGGCTCTGTGAACAACTAACAGCCGTGCATCTGACGTCCAGACAGCCTGGGCAAGGCTCACCGCCAGCCCTCAATCCCACACCGCAAGCAGATGGCTCGAAGCTACGATCCTAAAATACCTCAACTGTCGGGAGTTTTTCAGAATTCTTGCCTCAACCCAAGATTGCGCATGTTTGCCGCCTGTAGAAGATCCCCCTGGACCAGTGCCTACCATCTGCGCAGCAGAGCCTACGGGGTTGGCAGGCATCGTGTTCCATGTGCGAGCGAGTGCTTCGCAGCATATGGTGGTGGCAGCATTGGTGATTTCGGTATCAATACTAGTGCAAGTAAAAGCAGTCACTTAATTCTTTCAAAGCACTTCTATAAGCCATACGGTCGATATCCCCAGGAAAGTGGAACAGCAGCAGCAGCAGCAACACCAGCAACAGCAACGACAACGACCAGTACCACAGCTGCAGCCACAGCGACAGCCGCTACCACTGCCACACCGACGAAAACGACGACGACTACTGCTACAGCTGCTGCTGCAGCAACTTCTACTACTTCTACTACTACTACTACTACTACTACTACTACTACTACTACGTCTCCTACTACTACTCCTACTCCTACTCCTATTACTAC